TTTAATTGAAACCTACAGGTTACAGGAAGCCAATGATTGACAGAGGGTGAGGTGTGAGAGTAGCAACAGGAGAGAAAAATCACCCTGTCACTGCAGTAACCGGTTCTCCTTGCACCTTACCGTCTAAAGCTCATTAATCGATGGATCAATAGATTTTGCAGCAGGGCACAAAGGAATACTATTATGACTTTATTTAAAAAATCCTTCACTGTACAGTTTTCTTACTTACTTCAGTTGTGATTTTGAGCTCCTCATTAACATTGAATGTAAGAACTGTTTTCGTTGCATGTCTGTCCACAGGTCAAACCAATGTCCTATAAGTTGAACCCTTTCATGAAAGAGCTGAAATAAAATTGCATAAATGTATCAGTGTTGTAGATAAACCAAAAATTACACCCAATGTCCCAGTGATCTGAAAGCTGCGCTAGTGAGTGAGCTCCTATGTGCAGGGCCGGACTGGGGATACGAAGCAGCCCTGGAAAAAGATCTATGCCAGCCCCATAAGTCATTGTGCTATGTAGGGTGTTTTTATATATATATATATATATATATATATATATATATATATATATGTATATGTGTATATATATATATATATATATATATATATATATATATGTGTATATATATATATATATATATATATATATATGTATATGTGTATATATATATAAGTATATATATAGCATATAGTGAAAGTATATATATAGGCAATTGAAATAGTTGGCTGCACTCTCAGATTTCCTGAAAATGTAACTTTTATTGAAATATTTAAGAGAAGATCAACGTTTCAGTCCCTCTTGTGGACTTTCGTCATGATCCTGATGCAAGTCCACAAGAGGGACTGAAACGTTGATCTTCTCTTAAATATTTCAATAAAAGTAAAATTTTAAGGAAATCCGAGAGTGCAGCTAACTATTTCAATTGCCTATATATATACTGGATACTGGAGCCCTGGTGATGCAACAGTATATATATATATATATATATATATATATATATATATATATATATATACACATGTTTATATATATATATATTATTATTTTTTTATTCATACATTTCTTTTTCTAATTCAAAATATTAGTTCTTTTAGGGTAATTAAATTATACAGTAAAGCATACTCACACACAGACAGACAATCTTACTGATGCACACAAATAGGCTCATTGACAGACAATGACACACACAGACAAATTTAGCGCACACACAAATTTAGTACAGACAAACTCTGATACACACAAGCTTACTATAGACAAGCTCACTGTCTCACACACACGGTCACTACAGACAAGCTCACTGATGCGCACACACTCTCCCTACAGACAAGCCCATTGACACACACGCTCCCTACAGAAGAGCTCACAGCACACAGATTCACTACAGACAAGTTCACTGACACACACATGCTCACTACACATATGGTCACTACAGACAAGCTCACGATCACACTCATGCTCCTTACAGACAAGCTCACTGACACACATACAAGCTCACTCACTAGCAGGCACACACACACACACACACACACACACAGAGGCTCCCTCACTAGCAGATGCGTGCACACACACACACAGAGGCAGACAGTCACTGACACCCAGGCAGACAGCCACACACACACACACACACACAGGCAGACAGTCACTGACACCGAGGCAAACACCCACACATACAAAGACAGGCAGACAGCCACACACATACACAGGCAGACAGCCACACACTCACACACAGGCAGACAGCCACACACTCACACACGCAGACAGTCACGCACACACACACAGGCAGACAGTCACGCACACACAGGCACACACTCACAGACAGTCACACACTCACAGTCACACACTCAGTCAGACAGTCACACACTCACACAGACAGTCACACACTCACAGGCAGTCACACACAGACAGTCACACACTCACACAGACAGTCACACACTCACACAGGCAGTCACACACAGACAGTCACACACTCACAGGCAGTCACACACTCACACAGACACACTGACCTCCTTCTTACCTCCTGCTTGGAGCTCCTGGAGGCTGGTTGTTGGGGAAGCAGGGACTCCTTCCTGCTTCCCATGCTGCTGTCATCCAGGCCCCTGCCGCAGAGTAAGCCCCACCCCCGCCGCACACTAAGCCCCGCCCCGCCACACGCTAAGCCCCGCCCCGTCGCACATAAGCTCCGCCCCCACCGCAAATGTAATTTTTAATTTTTTTTATGATCCCGGCCGGCCATGTGTGAGCTGTACCGGCCGCCTGGCTCCCCCTGCTCCCATGGGGCTCTGTGCAGCCGCACAGCTCACAAATGGCCGGCTGGGATCACAGGAGCTGTCAGCCCAATGATTAGGGCTGTCAGACCGGCCCCAGGTGCCGCGGCCCACCGGGAAATTTCCCGGTATCCCGGTGGG